CGCCGCAATATGCGTTTTTATAATTCGCATACGGACAAAAACGCATAAAAACTCTGAGGCATTAAAGAGTCAAGAATTTAGTCCTCAAATCTCATCTTTCCAGCTGGGATGAACCAAAAATTGAAAACGTAACATACAAACACATTCACACATGGACGTACATACAAACACACACACACACACGCGTATACACAACACGCACCCACACATGCCCTTGCATCCCCCCACTATTTGCTGAAATGCAAAAGAGTATTGAAAAAAACTGTTTTGTATACTAACCGTTGCTCGTAAGAACTGCGTTTGTGAAGCATAAGTTTCAGTTCCTTCGCTTGCCGCCACAGCATTTTCTCTTGCATCTCCTGGTCATCCTCCACGCTCACCGCTTCATACCACAAGCTACCGTCATCCATCATTCGAAACAAATATGATCTATATTTGCTCCTGATCCCATCCGTATTCAAACAACAAATGGCTCGAGTTGGACCTTTTCCAAACAATCGCCTTTCTGCCTCCCGTGAAATCTTTACTTCATACTTGGGATGCTCTCTGTAGAATGTAGCCATGTCACGCGGTTCTTTCAGCCGTCTAATCGCTGCCAGCGATGACCAGTGAGATGAATTCGAATGACGATACAGTGAGAAGGTCTGCACTTCAGGGTTTACTGCATGCTGGAGAATGTAGAACGGGTAAATTGCTCCGTTTCGGGCAGTATCCTGGATTGGCGGCGCACACACAACATGATGTCCTCCTTGGTAGATGCTGTGAGTCATTTCGAGTAAAACCAGCCCTCGCATCCGCTCATCCACAAGCACAAACCTTCAAAGTTGCAGCGTGTCCGATTAAAAAAACAACCTCTGGGTGATCAGATTCAGCCACAATGTCTCTTTTCGCCTGTAATCTTTGGCATATTTTGTGTATGTGACAATTACCTAGACAAGGATCTCAGGAAGGGGAAAACTATGCACATGCTCAAGTATACCAGCCTTGCCAAGCAGGCTGATGGAATTTTTTGACAAAAAATAGTTTCGGTTCCTTTCCTCAATGGAAATCTTTTATTGCTGTTGTCAGTTGAAAAAAATTCAATGGTACCCCATGATAAGATTACTTCAATGCACTAAACTAAGAGCCGAGAAATCTGTTCGCTGTACCGATGGCGAAGGATAATATGACGCTAACAATTCTAGGAACTGTTTAAAAAAACACTGCGAGGCAAAAGGGACTAAAAACAAGAATAAAAGATAAACTTCACTTTTTCGAGATAGAAAGAAGGAGCGAGTGTGGAATATCAGCTAAACTGTATATATTAAAGACAGACGGGCGTTCAAAAGCAGCCTCATACTGATACTGATAGGAGTTGCGCGAGGTGTCGTCGAAATCAGGCACTGTGTAAAGTATCTCCCCTGAAATTTGTTGGAGCTAGTCCGGAGATAAAAGCAAAAACGTTTTTATGCGCGAACATTGAGTATTCTGAAACATCAGTACCACGCCATGACTTATTTAAAGATTAACCAAGTTTTTGTTGTATCCGAATTTTTACTTTTCCTTTCGAAAATAAAATCCGATGGGCGGATAAGTTGCTTGCCCTGCCGATAATCGGTGGGCAATGCGCATTAGTAAGTAGTTCTTCTGGGGAAGTAAACGAGCAGTCCCCGAAGAGGTGGCGCACATACAGAGAACAAGCGGTGGATATTAATCGGAGGTATGCAACCCAGGGTCGAAGGGTCATGGCATAGCTGCGCTCAGAGTGTAGCAGCAACCTAGCTAACATCACTAACAGGAGATACCCACCACTGACAGTCCAAGCAGTCCTGGTATTCTTAGTAATAAACGACTTTAGTATCATATAGTCATTCTCTACCTCGGCGTCTTTACAAAGAGGTCCATACAAAATAAAGACTGCAGGCTCAGTGAAGTGTGGGAAAGATCAACAACAACTGTGCTGAAGGGCCAAAGATGTGGTAAAGGAGGTGACCCCAGCATTTTTCTTCAAAACGACGAAAAAAAGAAAACGAACAGGAGTATCAAGACCAGCAACAAGCTGACCATCGATGATGCAGTCTAGGTTGCACATACTACGGAAAAGTTTCAGCTGCATTAACAATTCCTTTGCAGTAAAGTAAAACGGCAGCTGGATAGAATGTTGGATTAAAATTATGTAAAAAATATCCTGTAGCTCTGAAATATAATGTTGAACAGAGCTGCTCTAACCGTTTGAAGTTCCATCTCTTAAATCAATAAGTGAGACATTGTCCTTTCCCGCTGCATATACCAAACGAGGATGATCAGAGCCTGCTACTGACTGCAACAGAGCACCGGCAAAACTGTGAAGCCAAAAATCATTCATGGAAAAA